TTATTTGATAAATTCGTTTTCTTCAAAAAGTGCATCAGTGATAGCTATTTTAAATTTTGTAAAAATAGCATTTTCATTAATTATAACCCTAACAGCTACTTCAATGCAAGATAAGTTAGGAATTGAATTAATGTTTACTGTACTATCAATATTAGCTATGTTAGGATGTAGATGTCTGGTCTTGGTTTTTATTAAAGAGAAAAGAAAAGACAACTTAGATGAAATTAACAAACACCTTCAGAAAAATCAAAAACAAGACGATAAAAATGAAAATAGAAAAATTCAAATAAGATATAGTATAATCCCTTAATAATAAATGTTATAATATTTTATTATCATTTTAATTTATTTTTTATTTCTTATAATTTAAATTCTTATTATATTTATTAAATAAACTACAAAATCATGAAAAATTTAACAAATAAATTACATAAATTATCAGTTGTCAATATTAATAAGAGAGGATAAGCAACTAAGGAAATGTCATGTTATCTATTAAATTTATTATGATTTAAAATTAAACATAAAACTAGTTATCATATAGTAAAATTTAAAAATGATCATTGCTTTTTCTGTAATTATTTATAAAAATATTCCCACCTTGAGAAAATAATCACATAATACTCAATAATTAAAATGGAATGAAAAAGGAAACATAATAAATGATCGTTCATAGTGTTGATCTTATTAAAGTTTATGAAAAATGTCGTGCTATACGAATTATGCATATTTTTGCTTAATTATTATTATGATCATTGAAACTTATAAAATAAATTGCTTGTGTCTTTTCATTTCATAAAAATGTGTCAGTTAAACTTTCAAAAAGAAAATAATTTTCTAATTCATTTTTGTGAATTGGAAAATAAAAATAATGATCTTATTAAAAAACTAGCAGATATTAATGACAAGTGCAATAATTTGAAACTCGAAAATACTTATTTAAAACAACAATTGTGAAATGTTTATATTAAAAAAATAAATACCAAAAACAAATATGATTCGAATTTTACGTATACAAATTATTATAGTGGTATTAAGAGTATCATAATGAAATATAATAATTTGCTTTCAGATAAACAACCTGTTCATGATAATATTGATACCCAATTTAATGATAATATCAATACCCAATTTGATAATAATATCAATACCCTATTTGATAATATTCAAATATTTGGTATCAGAAATATTAATAAATCATTTGATAACAACGGAATTAAGATTAGTGATGATATCGGAGATATTGAATGATAAAGTTTGAATATCAAAGTATATGAAATTGATAACGATGTTTATAAGAGGTTTAAACCTCTGATATTTATATTTGTTTATTTTTTAAGTTTTTTATATTTATGTTACGAATATGCAATATTTGCATGATTTTGTTATTTTTATTTTTTTTTCATAGTTATTATTTATTATTCTATAAGTCAAGTTATAATTAAATTGATAAAATTTTAAAAAAAAATTCATATTGTGATTCAAAGATAATACACATACTAGATTGTCTTATGATTTGATATCATGTGATAATATAAAAACAAATCTGAAATATGCAACATGTTATGTTAATCATCAGATATTAGAAAAAAATAGTAAATATATAATAAATATTGCTATGTGATATTGATAAAAAATGTTAAAAAAATGTCTAAAGTATTTAAAATTCCAGAACTAGTTGATTTGATTATTAAATAGTGTTTGATAGAAATGATTATTGTTTATTTCCTCGAGTAAATTTATTACCATATTACTGAAACACTTTTATATTAATAAATAAATAAATATTTCAATATGAATATCATTTATATTATTCATCAAATGATAGTGATATTGATCATTTAGATAAATGTTTGATAAATATTTAAATTTGATATTTAATGTTGGTTTTTTTTGTCTAAAATTTAGCAAGTCAACATGAATAAAATTATTAATTTTGTTATTTTTTTTATTTGTTATTTATTTCCCAAGTATTTACGCTAAATTATGCAGTTGTAGAAACTATGCTGAATGCTGAGGTCATGAATGGTACACTACTTCACTATTTAGATATTGTTTATATATAAATAGCAACTGCAACTATTTCAAAAAATGTGACCCTAGTAGTACTAGCCTTTGGAATAGTTGTTCATCACACATGTGCGCTCCCAATAGTGGTGTTTGTAGATATCTCAATGATGCAGGATGTCTACTGGCATTTCTACATTGCTATCAAGAAATTGGAAAAAATTATAGCAAATGTCACATATACGCAACTGATAACGATTATACTAGAATCAATAAGGTTTGCATAGATAGAAACTGTGCTGCGTGCTAAACTATTGCTAATTGCCAACCTGAATTGTTTTCTCGAGACTGAAATTATTAATTTTGTGAATCTGATAGAGATTGCTGATATTCTAATTTGGGTAATCACTGTTACAAAAATGATTGTTGTATAAATTTGGAATACGCATGTAAAGATGACTCTGAATGTAATATTTGGTAATCAAATTGTTTGTTATTACTGGGTATTGGAAATGAATATTTTGTATGACTTGTCAAGGTTTAGAGGAACATTGTCCTAAGGATCGTCTATATTGTAGTAATAGTAGTAAGTATTGTTGTAAGAATGAGGACTGTGCATGCCATAGTAAAGGCAATTGTCTAAAATCATTTAGATGTAAAAAGAGTTAATGTGAAAGATGTTTAAGGTATCAAACAAATTGTTTATAAACATTTAATAAATTTGATTAGATATTATAAATTATATTTTACCTTTTATTACAATGTTTTATTTTTTATTACAATGTTTTATTTTTTTATTACAATGTTTTATTTATTATTAAATGTAGCAATTTGAAATATATGAGTATTAAATTTTCATAAACTAGTATTTTGTAAGTTATACAAATAAAGAAATTTTTTTTCTTTCTAATTTTTTTTCAATGTTTGATAAACATTTAAATTTAATATTTAATATTGGTTTTTTTTATCCAAAACATAGCAAATAAACATGAATAGAAAATTATTAATTTTGTTATTTTTTATCATTTAAATAATGAAATGGAAACGAGAATAATCTGAAATAAAGCTATTTTGGAATCTTAATTGTGAAAGATTAAACTTGTAGTTACCAACTGATTATGATATAGAATAAAGGTCAAAAAGAAAGATATCTGAATCAGAAAATATATCGAGTTCTTGGTTTAATGTTTATGAGAAGAAAAATATTATGAGAGAACAGATCAATTTAAATTTTAATATAGTTCTTCTAAACAATGGTCTCAAAACCAAAAAGATTCGTATGTATCCTATACCTGACAAATGGAGGATACTGTTACACTGAATTAATACATCAAGATGGATATATAACCAATACTTAGACTTTATAAAGGAAGGGTGTGTTAGATCAATTTAGAATCGTTACGTCAACGAGTTGTGAATAATCCAAATTATTTAAATACCAAACTCGAATGGGTTACAAAAACACCTCCTGATATTCATAATAACATAATGCAAAATCTAGTCAGAGCATACAAAACTAATTTCAAGATGAAACAAGAGAGTAAGAGAGTTAAATATGATATGAAATTTTGGTCCTGTAAGACTTCTCAACAAAGTATTCTAATATAACATTGTTGTTGGAATAGATTGTATGGATGCTATGCTTTTCTCAAAAATATCATAATGAGTGAACTATTGCCAGAGATCAAGTATGACATACGAATTACATATGATAAATTAGGAAGGTTCTTTGTCTGTGTTTCTATTGAATTAAACAAGAAACTATGTAGTCAAAGAACAATATTATCATTTAATCTGGGTGTTAGAACCTTCATGATAGGTTAAGATCTAGGTGAAAGTATCATTGAATAGGGAAAGAACAATGTTAAATAACTGTACAGATTGAGAAACAGGTATGACAAGTATCAGAGTGACTGAAACTAAGCAGAAGGTCGAGATAACAAACATAAACATTATCAGTTGAGAAAAAAGATGTAACATATTACTGACAAGATCTGGAATCTCATTAATGAATATCAGTATCAACTTGCTAATTACGTCTGCAAGAATTATCGTACAGTCTTGTTACCAAAGTTTGAGAGCCAAGATATAGTAGACAAAACCGATTGAAAGATTAACAAGATGACAGCTTGGATGATGCTCGCATAGTCGCCTTTTCAATTTCAACAATTCTTACTACATAAAGCTTGAAAGTAAGGAATGAACGTTATGTTTTGCACTGAAGAGTATACTAGCAGGACGTGTAGTCGTTGCAGAAGATTGAACAATAAGTTGAGTAGAAACAAGACTTTTAGATGCAAAGATTGTGGATTAGTAATCAATTATAATATCAATGCAGTGAGAAACATCTTGCTGAAATACGTGTCTAAGTCCATGTAACTCAGACATTGGACATGAACTAATTATGAGATCCGTCATGTTATTTACTAACGTATTTATTCATTTCGGATTTAATTTCAAGAGTCAATGTAAAAAATGTTTGAGACATCAAATAGATTTTTAATATAAAATAAAAATAAACATTTATTAAAAATAAATTTAATCAAATAAATTATATTTACTTTTTATTACATTTACAATGTTTGTTAAAGTTTGTCCAATAATAAAGTTTTAATTTTTATTAGGAATACATTTTTATATATATAATTCGAGCTATATTTCACTATCTATTAACTTATCTACAATATTGTAGAGATGAGCATTTCTTTTTGAAGTAAAAGACTCTAGCATCTCTGTTGCTTTTTTATTTCCTCTTTCACTAGCACATTCTAAATATTCTTTTCCTTTATCTAAATCTTGCTCGAGTCTGAATTTTCCTTCTCAATAAGCATATCCTAAAACTATTGGAGCAATTGGACTTTTATTTTCAGAAGACCTTGTTAAGTATTCAATAAACTTTTTTTGTTTTTCTAAGACTACCTCTCTTGTATGTAGGATTTCTAAAGTATTGATCAGTTCATTTGATTTTATTGTGTTTGCTCCTTCTGTCAATAAAAACACGAGAATAAGTTGAGCCTTTCTTTTTGTTTCTTTTGCTTCATCAATGGTTAACCTATTTGCTACGTCAATGCTTTCAAGTATTTTTTTAGCACCTTTCTTATCTGGATCTTGTCCATCTAAACCAAACTATAAATAATAATTTCTAACTAGATCAATGACTAGTTTATCTTCTTTAACTAGTATATTAATAAATTTATCATAAAATAACTGAAGAAATTCTTCTACTTGTCCTTCTTTTGGGTTATTTCTATGTATATCAAGCTCTAGAGATTTTTGAAGTAATTTATTGTTACTTTTTAATTTTATTGAACTTGTGACTAATGTAAAGCGATTAGGATTAGGTTTACTCATTTTTATTAAAGTAAATTAGATTTTAATCTACTCCTTTTCTATAAAATACAATAATACATATAAAAATTGATTATGTTTAAAAATAATTAGATATAGTTCGACTATGTATTCCTTCAAAGATTAATAAAATAGCTAATACCATAAATGAAAAATAACTATCAAAAGGAAAATTCAAGTTATTAGATAAAGACCACGTCCAAATCAATCCTTCTATAAGAGGATCTATAGAATGCGTAAATGCAACCACAGTTTGAGCTATCCTATTTACTTTATCTAATGAATTTAATCTTACAGAATTGTTGATAAAGATTGCAATTGAACTATGTAAAAAAATATTCAATATAATTCTAATAGATATTACAAATAATAAAAAGAACCACACTATTGTATCTTTTTCAGAATAGTTCCAACCTTTAATCTTGTTTACTATTAGAAATAATAAATAATCAAAGCCACTAAAATTCCAAACATATTTGTAAGATGTAGCTAAGTTAACTCTTTTATCTATCCAAAGATAAATAATGATTTGGGAGAACATTTGTGTTATACTTATTAATGCTAATGTCAGTGCTAAGTTTATAGTTATTAGTCCGAACTTGCCAATATTGATATCTGTAATCGTGCAAATAGGATAAACTTTATCAAAAATAATATTTTTGAGATCTAATATAGAGTAACTAAAGATTATAACCTATGAAGCCAGAGGTATATTAAAAATACTCTTTTAACCGTTTCTTTCTTAGCTGGATTGTTACTCATTAATAAAGCTACATTTTCATCGTCTTTATAGCTTTTGAATATTTCTTTGAGTTTAAAATACCTAGTTAAAACACCAATTAAAATAATAAAGGCTACTATCAAACATAGTAAAAGGTACAGGTTGTCTTTTAAGAATATAATATTTGCGAAAATTGACAGATAGTTAAGAACAGAATTAGATAAATATCTCCTGATCATTGGTCTATTAATGAATCCTATTGACCAACAAGAGACTATAATTGAATATGCCTTTGCTTCATTATATTTGTTGCTAATTTTCCCAATCACACTTTTGGTTATTCCAGAATTACCTAACAGATAATTGTTAATATTCTTAATATTTCATTTTAATTATATACTCACCATTGAGAAATCTACTAATTGAACGAGTAAGTATGGCTTGCTATAATGAATAGCTTAATCCAAATAGCAAACAACTGATAATAGACCCTAATAAACCAAGCAACAATATTAGATATCGACCATATTTATCAGACAACATTCCCCATAATATCAAAGAACAAGCTTTAGCCAAAAAGAATGATGATACTACAAAAAAAACTTGTAAATATATTGTTCAGAATATCTAAATTATAATGTACTAACCAATTAATCTAGTGTAACTACTGATTTGTTTGTCATCATCAGTAATATTGAAATCTTTTATAATAAAATATATAAATGGGAATATAAATGTTGAACTAATGGCTTCAGAGAAAACCATAACTCTCAATATAAACATTTGAAATCTAGATAATGATTTTTTATCATGTTTCATTTTTTACAATAATCTATAATAATCAAAATATTTACTCTTAAATAAACTTTATTATTTATAAAAACAACCTTAACTTATTAATAAATATGAAATATAATACATATTAAACTTATATAATTGCTTAATGTTTATTTTTAATTAGTTATTTATATTTCTTATTGCATATTATTAGGTAAAATAGTTAATTCATAAGTATAGCTTTTGAATATTTACTAAATTCATTTGCAAATTCCTTATCAGGTGTTCTAGGTAAATTTGTGTAAATAAACTCTTGTACAATTGTATTATTAGGTTTATAAGTAGAATTCATCATTTTCTTTAGATATTTACGTAACAAATCTTCTTGTTTTTCCTTTTTAATCTCTATAAAAGAATTGATTAAAAACTTACTAACATCGTTTAATCTAGGTTCAAAAAGTTGAAAAATATCAAGAATAATCTTATAGTTTAACTGAAATCCTAAATCAATTAATTCTTGAAGCCATTCGATAGCAACTTTCTTATCTGGTATAGTCTATCTAATAGTTTGAGCAGGTGGTAAAAGAATCAATATCACATCTTGTAATACCAGATCATTAACATTCTAGCAAATTTCATGATAACCAATGTCTTTCCATAATGTTACAAAATCTTTACAAATTACTATCACTCTTGCGATAATATTAAGCTGTCTATTGTTTTCATGACTATTTTTTGATGGATATTCTTCCACATTATTTTTTGTTTGGTTATCAGTTTTTCGTAGAGGAAATAGAATAAATTTCATTTTTAATATTAGATCTTTTATCACTTCCTGATTATTTTCTAAAATAGTAGATGTATAACTAATAGTATGAGGACCACCTGAAAGAAAATGAAAAAGTTCCATGTTTTGACCCTTTAATTTTAGATCCTCTTCATAAAGATTGTTAGCTTCTGTCAACAGAAACATATATACTGATATTGGCAAATTACTTGCTCATAGAATACTACTATTTCGTTGTAAATTTCTTATATCACTAATATTGGTCTGTCCTGCATTATAAGCAATCTTTAAATCAATAAACAAATAATAAACTCGAGATGAGATATATTACTATTTAAGAAAAGTATTATTTTTGGAAGTTGTAAGTTAATCTAAATAAATAATATTCTTTTTGTAAAGTTGTTGTTTAAATATTGAATAAATTAAGTATTTATTAAGTATTTGTTCTAGTGAGTATATATTATATTGATAAGTTTTTAGCTACTAATCATTGTAATAACTATATTTAGTAAATTGAGAAGTTTAATAATTTTACAAGTAGTTTTAAATTTGTTTGGTCCTTCAATTAGTAGATTTGAATATTGAAAAAGTTTTATAGTAGACTATAAATTGTTTTGAAGTTGTTGAACTTGTATTTGAGTAGATAATTCTAATAAATCAGAATTATTAAACTATAATAAAAAGTTAGTTATATAATACTAAAGTTGAATAATCTAGATATTTTTGATACAATAAATATTATAGTTTAGCATAGTATTATTTAAAAGTATTTTAAAGTGACTTGCTTTGTATTTAGCAACTAAAAGATATTTGATAATATTTTTTAGCATATTGCTATAGAAATAATAATATTTTGAATTTGATATTCTAGTGTAGAGATAATAAATTTATTAATAATATAACTAGCTTGTTTGTCTGTAATATTTTTTATATTTAGAATATCAGCAAGAGAAGAAGCTTCTTTTGATATTAGATTAATTTGAGCTTTTTAGTTATTATTTATATGTGAAAGATCAAGTTTATGATGACCAGACTTAATGTACAGAGCAAGCTATGAAACCTTCTGCAACTGTGAAAACTGGGTATACAGCAAGCAATTTTACAGAAGATATTCAAATTTTCTCAATTACCACTACTCCAACTCCTATTAAGGAAATAACAAATATATGTTATAATAAATTTCTAAATTACTACAACATACCTATACTTCTAAAACCACAAACTTTAGGTTCTTTTATCCAATATCTCTATTACAACAACTTTACCTAATCTTTCAAAATTTCAATTAATATTACCTATAATAAAACACATATTTATACTAACAATAATGATCTATTACTTCCAAATCATATTCAACTTCAAACTAACAATCTATTAAAATATTATCATTTACCAATTAGATCCATCTCTAATAATACACCTTATCTCAATAGTCCTACTATTGAAATTGAATATATATTACTTCCTATTAAAATTGTTTCTATTAATATAAATAGCCTTCTTCAATCTAACAAAAAACTTTCAATAACTGAAGCTCTTAATAATAATACCTATAATATTTTAGGTCTTTTTGAAACACATTTATCTATAAAAGAAAGGAAAATACTCAACAATCAGATTAACAACTACTAAAGTTTCTGGAGTGCCTATACTCATATACATCAAGCAGGTATAGGAATTTTTATACATCAAAAAATCTCCAAATATATTGCTTATATACATAACTATAAAGGCCATGTTATTGGTTTTGACCTTCATTTCAAAAATTTACTAATCAGACTTTTGCAAGTTTATATTCCTACTCAGGAAAAAAAACAACTTTGAAAAAAATACAAGAATATCTTATCTCTCTACTACAATATCAAACTTATAAAATCATAATTATGGGAAATTTTAATAGAGTCCCCAATGCATGTTTGGATCGAAATTCATCTAAAAAAACTTCTATACCAGAACTTCAACTTATTAAATACTTAATAAGCTATCAATACAAAGATATCTATTAATATTTTTTTTCTCAAAACTAAAAACTATATCTTTAATCATTCTCAATTCTCAAGTCGAATCAATCAGATTTGAACAAATCTATCTACTTCTATTATTGATTATACTGATATTATCTCTGATAATATATATGACTCTGATCATAATATTATAACAATTGAAATCTCTATAATCATCAACAAACCAAAGCCCTCTAAACAACAAAAAAGGAAATGCTATTTATGAAAAAATTGCTCTAAAGAAATACTTGAAAACTATTCTAATCAAACAACTCAAAGTTTTTAATAATTAGCTTCTCAAAATAATACTATAACAAGCCAAAACTAACTCAACAATATCTGGAACAAAATTCAAAAAGCTTTAACCAAAGCAGCTACTAAACATATCTCTTTTAAAAAAATAAGAACTATTAAGGAAGCTTATGATACCTCTTCTACTAAACAACCACTTCTCTTTTATAGATACAAACAAATTCAATATCTTAAAAATCATCTATTATCTCCAAATTTTTTAACACTTCTTTATAACTACCAAACTGAATACCCAGACAACTCAATCTTAACTAACTCTTCATTATCTGACTAAATCAAAAATGAATTTTAGCTCATCAAAACTGCTCTTAACTACTAACAAAAACAAGTTACTTACAAAGAAATTCAACAAAAAATTGAAAACCAGAATAAAGTTTTCAATGAAACTCCTAAACTTTTCTACAAAAACATTCTAAAAAAATATAATAATATAAATATTAATAGACTTCTACTTAACAACACACTCCTTACTAATTAAAACGAAATTTTAAATACAGTCTACTACTACTTTTCAAGTAATTTCAAGGAAAAACTATTACAACCTATTCTACTCTTATTAGAATTCTTTCAACTCTATTAACTATATCCTGAACTTGAATACACTACCAAAATTCTCTTTGATGATATCTCAGACTAGGAATAGAATGAAATTATTACTAATTTACCAAACCAAAAAGCAGCTAGACCTTCTGAAATCTGCTATGAACATATAAAATATACTAGTAAAAAAGCACAAAAATCCCTCAAACTTTTTATTAACAAATATCTCTAACTTCAAAAGATTCTAACAGAATAGAAATCCTCAAATATTTTTTTGATTCTAAAAAAATTAAATTGAGATTTCACTCTTGACCAAGTTTGACCTTTCTCAATTATTGAACTATTCAAAAAGACTCTTACTAAAATTTTTTCTAAACGATTAGATAAAATAATTACATCAAATAATCTTCTCTTAAACTTAAATTTTGCAGCTTCTAAAAACTCATCTACACATATACTAATTCAAATTCTTTACAATACAATTGAATATTATATACTATACAACAAGGAAGCTTTTATTCTATTTCAAGATATGTCTAAAGCTTTTGATAAGATCAACATCAACTGGCTACAGAAAATATACAGAAAAATTAGCATTACTGAAAAAAGTATTAACTTTATTACAGAGCTACATACTTCTCGCTTAGCAAAAATTATTATATCCTATAGCTTTACTACTTCTGTTAATATCAATTCTGGTATTGAATAGGGAGAAACCTATTCTCCTTTACTTTAGAAAATTTATTATGATCCTATTCTTACTTTTATTTCACAAAAATATCAAAATCAACTTCTAAAAATCTCAATACAATTACCACTTAATATTATTTCAAACTCTCCCTTATCCTCTTTAACAATTCCACTATTAGCATATATGAATAATACCGTATAGTTTTGTAAAAAATTAAAAAAATATTCTTCATGATACCTCAAAATTATATGATCTTAATAATATAACAATTAACTTTTCCAAATCTGATCTCTTATACATCCAATCTAAATTCAAAATTTCTAAACTACCAACATCTAATATACTTCATTACAATAATCAAACTATTATATCTAGATAATCTGAAGAAACTATATGATATCTTGATATTTTTTATGATGAAAATAGTACCTCTAAACCAATATCTGAAACATTTTTAACAAAATTGAAAATTTCTTCTCTTTTATCAAATACAAAAAACTTACTTCATCACAAATTACCTCATTATTTAATCTTATACTTCAACCTGTACTTGAATATCTTTTTCAAATTGTACAAATTCATAAAAATATTCAAACTAAAGTTTTCTGCCTTTTTACTATCTAAACAAAAAAATTGCTTTCATTAGCAAAAAATACTAATAATATTATTTTAACTAACTCTCTTTCATTTAATCTTCCAACACTAAATAATATTATTCAAAAAGTTAGTGCTTCTAATACTGAACGAATCTTTACTTCAAACTCTCTTCTTAAAAATATTGGAATCTTACATATCAAATCTTGGTTAACAAAAATATGGTCTCCAAAACTAACTATCGAAAAATACAAAATTATACTATCATATTCTATTTCTTACAACTAGCTTTTAATAATATAACACTTTTTTACTTACCTCAAATTTCTACTTTTCTACTAACAATTCCAGAAAACTCATATCTAATATATGAAATACTTCCTCCACACCTATATAGTCTAACTATTAATAGTCTTAAAAACAACAAAATTCTCTTTATTAAACAAATTACAAATACTAATAATAATTATCTTCTTCCATGGAATAATATTTATCTCTATACAAACAAACTAACTAAAGGAGCTATTCCAAACTGGTTTAAACAAATCTCAAATAATATACAATTAAATATAATATTAGATGTTTAGTCACAATTTAATTTATCTACAACAAATTTCTTTATCAATACTATGAACCTAATTCTAACACAACTATTACTAAACAATAACTTTCTATTTCAACTTCACTACCAAAACAATCAAAATATCTTTATCTCTCAATATTATAATTCACAAA